TTAAGTTAACTTTAACCCACGACACAAAGCAAGTCTGTTAACTCTGCTGGAGATGCTGCGTACCTCTGAACCATCTTCCCAAGAACCAGAGGAGACTGAGGTGCTGCAGGGGCAGAAGGTGCCTGACCTGAACTGCTTTTTTAACTGATATTTTTATTTAAGAAGCGTGGCTGAGCTATGCACTAGAAGCGTATTGGTAGAAACACTGAAGTAGTGAGCAAAATAGTCTTCACATGAAAGTAGAAGTTCCTCTGCAGCGTGGTGGCACTGCGTGAGTCAGCAAGAGGCACACAAACGCGGTAGCTGTTTCGCTGAGCATATGGGTCAGATGGTGAAGAGCACGTGGCTTCCGTACAGTAACACATTAACATGAAGAAGGCTTGGGTTTTTAAATAGTTCTGCTCCTACAGTTATGCTAAGTTAGGTACAGCCTGTTAGAAGCTTGATGGTGAGTGCTTTTGTTGAGCAATTCATTTTTCATTTCATTTTTAGTTCATTTTTGTACATGGGGTAACCTGGGAGATGCTCAAGCAGTTTCATGTGCTTTCCGCAGCAGTCTGCAGTGCTGCTGAAGGCAGTGGCTAGTCTGTCAGTAGAAAATAATGAAAACAGTGTACAGCAGCTGCCATCACTCTGTCCCATGCAGGAAAATGAAAGGCTGCAGCTCCCTGCGCTGACGGATGAGTGAACTTGCATAAAACCAACCACTTCCAATGTGGTGACTTTGCTAGTAGAAATTAAGTAGAACTGTGCCAGACTGAAAGAGTTGGAAAGTATTCTTTCAGGTGGGATATCTGCAAGGAAAAGCTCAGTGCAGTTTTGTCCTGTATGTGTACAAATGCATTCAGGCACAAGGCAAATAACCCCCAATAGTCACTGCTGACATACCTTGGCTGGTGAAATGCCAGAGGGCTCAGTTCGTAACACACCCCCAATGGCAGTGTAACCTGTTGCTCAGCTGAAGTATCTCCAGGTTCAGGCGTGTTTGCTGTCAGTCCTGACCAATGGAGTTGGGCTGACCCTGTTCCCAGAGCAGGATGCGTGACGCCTGTGCTGTTTGCTCCCTGGGCTCTTTTCCTGATGGGGCTTCGGCCAGTTTTGGTGCAGCCTGCGGCTTGCCGGCAGAGTGCTGCCGTGCTTCCCTTCTGTACTCTGTCACGGGGGCACCAAGCTCAACTTCTTTGGTTCAATAATATTTTTATAGCTTCATTCTGAGAAGCTGGTGCTTATGGGTGAGGTGGGAGGCAGTGTGGGCTTCCTGCACCCACCTGCTCTGTCCGGTCTGGGCTGTACATCCATCTGCGTATCCGTACTGATGCCGTTATCTTCTTAGGCTGATTGCTGGCATTTGTGGGAAAAGGAGACCTACCAAGAAGTGCCTTCGGGGTGGTGATCTGTGTTCATGACAGGTCTCAAGACGAGAGAGGCTGTGGCGTGCAGGATCAGCCCAGAACCTAGCAACGTGCCTCTCTCCAGCTGTCGTTTTGGAGGCACTGGGGAGAAATCAGAAAACTGTGCTTTAACACCCAGCTACTAATTACTCTGTTAACTGTCTGCCAAGCCCCAAAATCACACTTGTTTCTTGTCTCTTCTAGTTTCCAGTTCTGCAGGATAACTTGGAGGTGTATCTGGGACTCCAGCAGTTTGTGGTCACTTCGGGGACAGGTAATAACCACCAGCCAGCACTGCAGCCCTCGGTTTGTGAACAGCTGACTGCAGAAAATGCTCTAGACCTACTCTGGTGTTGCTGCTTTCGTATTCCGTTGAGGATCTGAACACAAGGTGTCTAATGGCTCAGTGGTCAAACTCCCATAGCAGACGGAAATCTAATAATATTTTTTTTTTCTTTGTTGGTATGGTTCTTCCCTTGTTCTGGTACTTGAAATGAAGATACTATATGTGTTAAGAGCAAGCATGCGGCATCAAACCCTCCAGTAACATGGAGGGATGATGGTTCCTTTTTTCCTCCCACTCGTTTCAGGAAAGGTGGTGCTCCTGTTTGCTTTGGGCTCAAATCTGCTGTGAAGTTGGCCACCACAGGGGCATTTTTAATTAGGCTTGAATTAAAACTGTTGTGAGTCAATGAGAAGACAAAGTATTTAGGATGTAGGAGTAGTTTCTGAAGACTTACCTAGCTGGCATTTCAGGAGCTTTCATATGTAAAGTAGTTTACAAAGATACCAGTGCTCTCGACTGAATAAAAAGCATGAGTGTAGCTTTGCTCCTTCCTGAGAAGTGAGGAAAGTATGGGGGAAGATGTAGCGACCATTATACTTAAGTTTTCTGGTAAGACCAGTGAAGGAATCTGTTATATCTGTTATATCTGTTATATATGTATATCTGCTGTACATGGCAGAATGGAGATTGTTGTATAGATCAGGAAAAAATCATTCCAATTTTACAATCATTTCAGACCTAGGATAAGCAACATGTACGTTGTTAATGCTGTAGCAGCAGTCTGTATTAGAAGCTGTGGTCTGGCTGTTGAGATGGTGGGTCAGAAGAAGTGGCTCAGCTGCAACTGGGGGTTCGGGACTGGATGGCAGCACACTGGTGGCAATGGTACGAAACGGCAAGCTTGTTGAGGACAACTTAATCTGAAATTAAATATAGGCACTGGAAAGAAAAACAGATTTCCGCGGAACCGTGGTGGTGTAGAACAGGTTTGCTTTTATAGTAAAAGGTCTGGAATGTTTGGAGACCAGGTATACACAAGGGAGCGGTGGGACGATTGCGTGGGTAATGAGGCTGGCAAATCTAGTTATCCGTGTGCTCCTTGTATCCGAGAAATAGGAGAGTAACTAACCACACTTCACATCAGAGGCAAATACACTCTTGTTCTGAAGACGTTTCTGCTGCTGGAGCATTTATTGCGTTGCAGCCAGCAGAGGGAGCGCAGTGACCATCTCTGCAGAGCTGGGGTTGCTTTTAGATACCAGCAGATAACCAAAAAGGCTCCTGTTTACATAGGTGTTAGTCCTAAAGAGAAGAAAATAAACGTGTAAGAGGCTGAAATAGTTGGTAATGTCCGTTTCAACCTTTAAAGAGGAATTTGAAGTGTGGCAAATCGGGACGATTGAGCTTGTCTTGCTCAGTTTGGGTGTTTCAGTCACTCGGACAGTGCTCTGATTTGAACTGTGACCCGCTGCCGAGCTAATTTAAGAAGAATGCATGTAATGTAATTAGAATAAACTTTGCATTTCCTGTAGCTTTGTGATTAGTTTCCCATGCCAAAGAGCTGTATTTATTAGTCACAAGGTTACGGGCTTTCTGTTGCCCAAGGTTTTTAAAGGCTGAGTTTTCAGACTGTTAGGCTCTTAGTCAGTGGCTATTAGCACAAGTGATTATTTACACTTTTGGCTTCGTTGCTCATGAACCATGGTGTCATTTCAGGTCACAGGCTGAACATCACTGCGGAGAACGATTGCCGCCGGTTGCACTGCTCCTTGAGGGACCTGAGCTCCTTGCTGCAGGCCGTCGGGCGGTTAGCAGAATACTTCATCGGGGACGTGTTTGCTGCCCGCTTCAACGATGCTCTGACGGTGGTGGAGAGGTAGGTGTGGGAGGGGGAGTTGCTGTCCCTTTGCCAGGACAAGGAGCAATTGTCACCACTGCAGTGAGCGTGGGAACCAAGGTTTCCTTCTGCCTCCCCTTGTTAGGATGAAATGGAGATACAAAGAGCTCACTGGGCAGTACCTGAAGTGTTATGTTCATCAGTGCTAAGTTTCCCAGGTGGCTGTCTCAGTCCTTAACCAAAGAAATTACTAATAGGAGAGATAAAATCAGTCACTTGGAAAGATTGAGGTGCATGTTCTCCAGCATCTGCATTTGTGATGGCAAGGAAATGGGATGTAAAGACTGATTACTTCAGAGCTGTATCTCTCAAAGCTAAATCACCAAAAACTCTTTTCTTAAATTAAAAGCTCTGTGAAAACTGAAAGGTAGATGTCATTTAACTCTGCTTCTGAGAAACTTAATTAGCACATAGTTGCAAATTTCAGGGCTCTACATGGCTGCCTTGGTTGTGTTTTTTTATTTCCATGCAGGAACACTGTACTTGTTCCATCTGATCACAAACAAGGAAATAGGCTCTAAATGACTTTCAACCAAATGGTCTAACTCTGGTCTGCATATTAGCTCAATATTGACCCTGACTTGCCAAGAGCTGTGTTCAGAGAAGAAGCTGGAGTGGACTTGTGCATGTGTATATCCATCCTGCAGTCCCTTTACACTACCATATATGTGTTCACTTCCAGGCTGGTAAAAGTGACGCTGTATGGATCCCAGATTAAACTGTACAACATTGAAACTGCAGTGCCATCCGTACTGAAACCTGACCTGATCGATGTGTGAGTATGAGATACACACCGCGAATCACCGTATCCAGATTCCGTACCTCCGTGGGGTGGGGGAAGCATTAGATCTCCGAGATCCGGTGTTCTAACCACTTGTTTGGCAAATGTTCTGGAAAGTGCGTCTCTCCAGTGATTGCTAGCTAACCAGGAGGCACCTTCTCTTAACTGTTGGAGGTCAAGGCTGCTGCCAGCATTCTGGACCACTGTTTCCTCAAATGGATGTACTGAGGTTATTTAAAGAAAAATCAATTTATGATGGGAAGTAAAAATGCCCGTCACATTGGCTCTGAAAGCACACTGTTGTTCTGCTCTGTTCTAACAGCTGAAAAGGCTCAGTTCTTCCGCAGTATAATGAAATGGCAAAATAAGCATTACAGCAGTGGTGTTTTAAGAAATGGATCCATTGTCAGTACGTCGTTCCAGTTTATGCATTCCTTGCTACCAAAGTCAGATCTGTGGCTCAGATAAAAGATGTTTTTCTTGGCCAAGGACTCGAAATCTTGTACTTCCAAGACAAATGTGTGCCTTCCAGCTATGTAAGCCATCTCTGAAACAAATGAATGCCTTCGGTTTGGAAGTTGACATTAAGTGTGAAATGTTGATGCTGCTAGCAATAGAACACCCCTCTGACAGCCCCTCAGAGACCTCCCAGTCTTAATGCTGTGCCGTACAAACCTGCTTCCTGCCAGCGGTGTTCTGAGAGCAGAACTGAAGGTTGTCCTTCTGAACATCAGTGTTTATTCTGGGTTGCGATTGCATGGATAGCAGCTCCTTGAGAACCCACACTAGATTTCATCACATACTTCCCTGGATCTCTGCTAATAATCCCAAATTACTAGCACTGAGTTGTGTGCAGATTGTGTTAATAGTCTCTTTCCTTTCCTCGTTTAAATAATTTGGGAGGTTTTTTCTCTGTTAGTGAGGGGTTTTCATCCTTTCCTCTGTCCAACGTCTCTGAAGAAACTTGTGATCCATTTTCTAAAGCTAGCCTAGCAGAGGTATGTTGTCAAACATTTGGAGGACACCTGTCTCTGCGGTCCCAAAGAAATATCCTGACTCAAATCTTAATATGGCGCTGTGCTAAAAACATAATTATGAAGTATGATTATAATGTGACCTTATCAGGTTATACCTTCGGCTTAATGCTCTTGCTCCGTGGGTGAGTCCAGTTACAGCACACCTTTAAATATGCCTTAAATCTACAAGGTCCAGGGCAAAAAAAAAGTAGTAAACTTTTAAAGCAACCTGACAGCTTTGAGAATACCAATATTCTTTCCCAGTACACTGTCAAAACTACTCACCATGCCCAGGACTTGTGCCCTTTTGTCCCCTGTACGTGTCTTACCCTTGCTGTGCTCTCCGCAGCCACGCTCAGTCCCTGGCAGCGCTGCAAGCCTACGCACACTGGCTCGCACAGTTCTACAGCGAAGTTCACCGGCAGAACCCGGAGCAGTTCATCTCTCTCGTCTCCACGGCTCTGGAGGCAATCACTCCCCTCATCAGCTCCAAGGTACTTCTGGCGGCGCTGGGCTGAGCCTGGGCTTCGTCTAGGACTGGAGACCCTCGAGCAGCAGCGCTGCTGTGTTCAGGTGTTTAACGCTAGGCTCTGGACCACGCTCTGGGTCCTGATGTGAACCCATCTGAGAGCTGGATGACTGTCCAGAGCCCCAGCAAATGTCTTGTGCAAAGTTAGACCAAGAGCAGTTCTAAATAGGTCAAGCTAATATGAGCTAATAAGCAATTTGCTGGAATATAAATTCAGTCTAATGGCTTGAAAGCAGGGAAATTTCTTTCTTCCACAGTATTAAGGGAACTGACTTGTTCTCTGATTGGCAAATAAATACTATAAACTGTCTCGCTTTGCAAAAACCTGGTGGTGGCAGCTCGCTGGGCTGTCTGACGGCAGTGCTGCATCGGACGGTTTGTGTGCTGGTGTTACTGGGCAGCCTGACCCTGTGCTGCTGCTGTTTCAGGTGCAGGAGAAGCTGCTGCTGTCTGCGTGCCACCTCCTCGTCTCCTTAGCGACCACGGTGCGACCGGTGTTCCTGATCAGCATCCCAGCAGTGCAGAAGGTGTTCAACAGGATCACGGACACTTCTGCTCAGCGCCTTCCTGATAAGGTGAGTTGTCTCAGACAGGAAAAATGTGGGTTAGGTGTCCTGGGGAAGCTGTGCCTCAGTTCTTACTGCAGAGGGGTATAACCTCAAAAAAAGCAAGCTGGGGGGGCAGGGGCAGCAGTTATCTCTGGACTGTGGATATCTAGGAATCCCAGCGATATAGTTTGTCAGTAATTACAGTATTTTAAGCAATGGCATAAGGAAAAAGCGCTCTTAAATCTCATTTCTTTCTCACGTGCTGCCACTGTCCTTGATCCTGCATCATCTTTACAGCCCAGGCATGTTGACTCTGACATAAAGTTTTCTGTGAAACTTAACGCTAGCACTCCACGTACCTCGCTCCAAGTTAGGAAGTGCTGACAAGCCACAGTGGAAGTTGGGATGGGTTGTATCGTGTGCTGGCCTGGAGGCATTAAGTGCTGCACAAGCATACGAGCTCGCTGTGTACACCAGACCAGGAGTCATGAAAGCAGCAGCACCTTGGGTTCAGAGAGGTGAAGAACAGAGACGTACCATTGCAGGGAAGGGCTGGCAGAGCTGGCAGCTGGTTCCAGCCCTGAAGTGATGGAGCTTTACTTCTCTCGTACCTTGCAGAGCTGCTGCCTTCCAGGTGGGCTCCCGTTCTGCTGTTGGACTACTGAGATGTCGGGCAGCTGCAAAGCGTCACTTCACTCTAGGGCTGTGCTCTAGTGTAAAGCAAATAGCAAACACAGTAAAACTTTCTCATTGCTTCTAGGCCCAGGTTTTGGTGTGCAGAGCGCTGTCAAATGTTTTGTTGCTGCCCTGGCCAAACCTTCCAGAGGGCGAGCAGCAGTGGGCCGTTCGCTCCACCAACCACGCCAGCCTCATCTCTGCCCTCACGAGGGAGTACCGCCAACTAAAATCCAGTGCCATCTTGCCACAGAGGAAAGTGCAGCTGGAGGACAGTAAGTACCAAGTTGTCACTTTCAGAAATGGGAATCTGCAGTATATTTTGCTGTCATATTGTGCTGCTTTTTTCTTGGCTGGTGTTTCTTTAGCGTTACTGTATTGCAGATAATACTGTCCGCAGCTGCCCTCAGTCCCTGCCCCTCAGTAGTTGAGCAGTGAGTGTCTCTGTAGGGCAGCAAACCTGAATAATTTAAGAGACCGAGTAGCCACAATGGCCTTATTGAACCTGTTTAAAAGTTTAAAACTCTAACACACATTTGGGAACACTTCTTACTTCAGCCTGAGTTTGGTGTAGCCTTGCAGGTTGTTTTAGTTTCGCTGTGTGTGAACTTGACTTCTCTTCATGTCTCACCTCTGAAGGGTTTTGACACACGTGGGAATTATCACCTCTCTTATTTTGCAGCCAAAGTGATCATCCATCAGACACTCAGCGTTTTAGAAGATATTGTAGAAAGTATCTCTGGAGAATCCACCAAGTCTCGACAGATCTGTTATCAGTCGCTGCAAGAATCCGTGCAGGTCTCACTAGCCCTCTTCCCAGCTTTCATTCATCAGTCAGGTATAACCATAGGACAGGCTTTAATGCTGTGAGTAGCTTTCGGACCTACTGATAACATCCCAAGTCCGTCAGTGCAGGGTCGTGGCGGTGTTCGTGTGAAGCGTGGGGGCTTGCTGCGCTGAGTGTGTGTCAGGCTGTGCTTTGGGCTGGGCTGAATGGGAACAGGAGAGGGAGGGCTCTGCCATCTAGGATACAGGCACACTGCCAGAAGATGGAGATGCCCTGTGTTGGGTTCAGCAAAAGAGCTGATCCTGAGCACAAAAAAAAAGTCTAAAATCCCCTCTCTGGCTGTGTTGGCCATCTACATATTTCCAGAAGCTTGGAGACAAAGGGGAGTAGATCTCATCAGATTAGGTCAAGTGTGTGGCTGGTTTTTTCCCCTCTAAAGGAAAGGCTCCTGAGATATAACCAGGACTGTTGCTTGGCAATCTTCTGGCTGGCAACTTACATTTTGTATCATGTCAGAGGTAGTGTGTATGCCCAGGATACAGCAGCTTCTCTGCGAAGCGTTCCAGCAAAACTTCAGGAGCTAGGTGGGATTTTCTCAGTGAAGCAGGCGTGGGGGGAGGCAAAACAAACTGAAATGCAGAGAGGGTCCAAGGCAGCAAGCTGACGCTGTGACTCCAGTGAACTGCTGGCTTCAGAGCAGGCTAGCTGCCTCCTGCGGTTGCTATTTATTGGCTGTGAAAGGCTGTAGGAGGGAAGAGTTGAGCAGCTTTAGCTTATCGTGGTTATTCAATGGACATCTTGAGCCTGGTGAAGAATTAGCTGCGGTGCTGCTGGCTGACTGCACAACCGTGCGCTGAAATGGCTGCTGGAGTCAGAAGGGTCTCTTCAGTTCCTGGAAAAAAAAACCAAAAAGGCAGCTGGGTTCTGTCTCCTAGCCATCCCAAGCTGCTTTGCTGTTTGGATTTCCCTGGGTTTCCTGTTAACCCTGTAGGAGCAGTGAGCAGCTGGAGACTGGCCCAGACCATCTCCAGAGCCGTCTCTGCGGGCAGGCCAGACTAAGGGCCTCGCTGCTAGTGGTGTATTTGTTCCGAGTTGGTGGTGCTGGCTGTACTTCTCATCCCTGGCAGTTTTCAGGAATGGATGAGCCACCTTTAAGTCCTGTAGTGCTGGCTGTTGGTTTCAGTTTCCAATGGCAACCCTGCTGCTAGATTTCCAAGAGTAAATGGGGTTCCCTGTACAGAAGGAGCAAATATCGCGTGAAAGACTTATTGATGCACTTGAATGTTACCTTAACACGTTCTTTTTGCTTTCCTGTTCTTACCGTAGATGTGACAGATGAGATGCTGAGCTTCTTCCTCACCCTGTTTCAAGGGCTGCGGGTGCAGATGGGCGTGCCTTTCACTGAGCAGATCATACAGACCTTCCTCAACATGTTCACCAGGTATTGTCCCACCCTGGGCACTTCTTTCTTATCCCTCAGGGTGATTTATCTTGGTAAGCTGCTCACACAGCAGGTCCCTGCCCCTAAAGGGTGTAGTGTTTCCAACCCCTTTGTGTCTAGACTTTTATCATGTCCCAGGGCTAGATCTAAGGAAGATGCTTCCAGGTCTGAAGTCACCCAGCCCATGCACATCAGTCGTACAGACCATTGTGCAATTTCAGCACTCCCACGGGCTCTCTGGAAGTGTGTGATACTGAACTGGAGTCTCACAGTGCCCATTAGCTCCTACCCAAGATCTGAGGGTACCCCAGCAGTCTCAAGCTTTTGTTGGGGAGAGGGCTCTATCAAAACCCAGCTCCCTTCTGTGGCTGAATGTACTTGGTCTGTACTAGTGGGGCAAGTTTGGAGGCACTGCCTGCTTTCCTTTAAATTGGGGAAGCACGCAGATCTCTAGGGATGTTTCCATGCAATGCCTTTGTTTTTGTCATAGGGAGCAGTTGGCAGAGAGCATCCTCCACGAGGGCAGCACCGGCTGTCGGGTGGTGGAGAAGTTCCTGAAAATCCTGCAAGTGGTGGTACAAGAGCCAGGCCAAGTGTTCAAGCCTTTCCTACCCAGCGTCATCTCACTGTGCATGGAGCAGGTCTACCCCATCATTGCAGAGGTAGGGCTGCTCTCGCACGGGGTGGAGGAAGGGGGAGAAGGAAGGGAAGGTGGTGCTGTGGGTGTGGGAGCAATTAAGCTTTTTGCTTTCCAGGAGCTGTAAATGTCAGTGCCCGTGCAGGGAAAACTGGGTGACTAGGCAGTGGGAATTGGAAGCAGCGTGGGTGGAGGATTTTGTCAGGAATTGTCAGAGGCTAAAATTACAGATGTGCTCGGAGCAGGAGGTAAAACTCAAAGCTGATGATGTGTTCTTAGCATGATCCATCAGTTGCTGAGTTTGGTGCCTTCCTTAGGAGGAAATGCTTCGATGCTCGGGTAGCTTGGCTGCAAAGCGCTGCCCCGGGTGGCCACCTGGCATTGTGCTGCTGGAGTGGGCTCCAGGGATGAGCGGGATTCCAGCACCAGAGCCTGCTTTCAGTTGTTCGTTCTCTCCTCCTAGCGCTCATCTCCTGACGTGAAAGCAGAGTTGTTCGAGCTGCTTTTCCGGATCCTCCACCATAATTGGCGGTACTTCTTCAAATCTAGTGTGTTGGCTAGTGTCCAAAGAGGAGTGGCAGAAGAGCAGATGGAGAACGAAGCCCAGTTCAGCGCCATTATGCAGGTAACTCAGCTGCTCCCGCAGTCGTCCAGAACCCTTTCTGTGATGGAGCACATGCTGCTTGTGGCAGAGCATTGAATGTGTGGCTGATGGGGATGAGACCACGTCTTGAGTGAGGTCTCGCCTTCAGGAACCACTGAAAATCAAGGTGCTTGCAGAGTGGTCATGCTGATGTGCTCCCAAGGCACAGCGCTTCACTGAGCAGGGCAGCAAGGGGTGAGGGAGGAATGTTCATTCCTTTCCGTGCCTCATCCTGCATCTAGACCTAAAAATACACCAGTGGTGCTGACCCATCTGCTTCTGTTACAAGCCTTGTGGTTAGCACTGGGACAAACTGTCAGTGCAGAGAAGCTTTCCTGAGACCAGGATGTCTTTTGGACTTGTTCCCTGCTGTACCGTCAGATCTGGCAGAAAAGGGTCGGTGGGGTGGTATCCTGTAGGTTTGGTCTGGGGAGCAGAGAAGGCAGAGGCATTGTGCCAGCGTGTACAGAGAGCAGCAGATTTTTAAGAATAACAGACTGTATTTCACACCTCGCTTAGGTCAGAGCTGGCCAAATGAGTTCCTGTGCAGTTCCGAGATGTAGGAACTGTCCCCAAAACAGGTAGTGCACCTCAAAGTAAAATCAGAAAAAAAAAAAAATCAGCCTCCTAATCAGCTGTCAGAGTAGCTGGTGTGGGGCCCTTCCCCAGCAGCCCTTGCCAGTGCAAACAGAAGCATGTTTGCACCACGTCCTGCAACCTCGGAGCCGTGCTTGCTCCCCCGGGGGCAGGGGGCTCCAGGTGGGGGACGTTTTGCAGAGCTGCCCCGTCGTGGGGTGCTAGTGGAGACTGGGTGCCTTTGACACAGGAGTAAAGGGGGAGCTCCTGCCCTGATGTGCACTGTGTTGGTGTTTCTCTCTGGCCCTCCCCAGTCTGACAGCTTTTGGTGTGGAGGAGGCCCAGGCTGGTCGCTGTGCAGGCTGTCCCCGTGTCCCTGTCTCTCCTGCAGCAGAGGGACGCTCAGTGTCTTGTTTTATTTTAAGTGTTCCCCATTGTGAGAACAGCTGGTGGTTGGTGTGGAGGATGTTACGAGCTCATGTACTGGTTTCCACAGATCAGAGTCCAGAACTGGCTCAGCCTTGAAGGGGCTTGAGCTTTTTTTGTCCGACAGTAAGTGGCTGATACTGGGAAATAAAATCTGTTTGTGATGCCTTGGAGCAGCACCTTGTAAAATTCTGCTGCTTGCCTCTGTACAGAGCTTACCTCGTCTGCCTGCCTCGTGCGTACACTGCCTCAGAGGTGTAAAAGGGGCTTTGTCATGAAGCCTGTGCAGCCTACCAGACTAGTTCAGTGGGGTCCAGCTTCAGAGGTGTAAAAGGCGTTCTGTCACGACATTTGTGCAGGCCTACCAGACTAGTTCAGTGGGGTCCAGCACATTTTGTTCTGAGGTTCTTTCCCACTTCTGTAATGCCCAGGCCAGCCTCCCAGCTCCCTTCTCTAAGGATTTTGTTCCGAGGTTCTTTCCTGCTTCTGTAATGTCCAGGCCAGCCTCCCAGCTCCCTTCTCTAATTTCTCTCTAGTTTAGTGCAGTGACACATTGAACACCTCTGCCTTGGTCTCTTGACTGAGATGGAGAGCAAAACCGAGGCGTGTGTTCTGGTTCTGTTCGTGCTCACTGCGCTGCCGACTGAGATGGAGAGCAAAACTGAGGCGTGAGTTCTGGTTCTGTTCGTGCTCACTGCGCTGCCTTAGGTAGCGTCCCAGAGAAACAGCCGAATCCATCCTGAGCCAGCTGCCTGCCGAGGGAGCCGTGCTCGGCGTCTGTGTTCCCCTTCGGTGCAAGCGTGGCCCATCTGTTCCCAACAGACTGAGGGAGCCGTGCTTGGTGTCTGTGTTCCCCTTCGGGGCAAGCGTGGCCCATCTGTTCCCAACAGACCAGCTTAGCAACTGTCTGCAGGGATATGAGCGCGTTTCCACCAAAGTTTCTTCATTCCCTTTGGTCTGGCAGCAGCAGGATTGATTTAAACACCCGCCTTGTATTAATTTGCTGCAATTAGAAGCAGCAGAGGCTCCCAGGGTTTGTTCTGGTGTCAGGGTCAAGATGACGCTGTTCTTCCTGGCAGGTCTGATACTCATCGTGATATCAATCCCCTTCAATTCTGCTTTGTCCGTAGGCATTTGGCCAGTCCTTCCTGCAGCCCGACATTCACCTGTTCAAGCAGAATCTCTTCTACTTGGAGACGCTGAACACCAAGCAGAAGCTGTACCACAAGGTGGGTCTGGGTTGACCAGTGCCCCCTCTGTGTGGGTGCTACTCTGAGCCTTGTTTTAAACTGCTCAGAAACCCAAGGTCAGGATTTTGGGGGCTTTTATGCCCCAGCCTTTGGTTGCTGTGATCCTGACGGATACATTGCACCTCCCTGATAGTGGGCACAGAGCAGATCCCAGCTCTGCTCAGTCAAAGCAAAACCTTGACGTGTGCCCTCCTGTGACAAGGAGGGAAAGCAAAAAACATGCACAGTGACAGTGCCATTTGTCCGAGGAAGTAGAAATTGGGATCATCAGTGGGACAGCGGCCAAGTCCCCCATCGTTCTCACCTTGGGCAGCTGCAGGGTGTCTGTTATTTGCGGTCGGTCGCTGCCAGGTGGTTGTCCATCGCTGTCATGTCAGACCCTCTAATTGAGACCTGTTAGCTGCTGTCAGGAGGGATTGGAGCTGGAATCCAGGGTCTTGCCCTTTGGTTAGCCTGTGAAAGCAGAGCTTTCGGGTTCGCAGCTGTGGGCACAACTGCAGGACAGCCCATCATGTTAACAGCTGCCTGGTGCAGGCTTGCGGGCAGCAAGCCAGATTTCCTGGATTTCAGGAGCGCTGTGCAGGGCTGGAACTGGCTGGAGATTGAATGGGACTGGATGCTGGTTGCTTAAACCTTGGGTCAGATGCGTGGGGTAAGCGTGGTCAAATTCACTGATAACTTTACACCTGATATTAATCCAACTCATTCTAGCCATTAGTGATCTTGCCGTGGCTTAGAAAATGATCTCTGTGCTCACAGGAGCTTGCAGACCTTGCTGATAGCTCAGGAGGTGCCGGTGTTGAAGTGGCCCCATGCAGCCATGCTCAGATCTCAAGTCGATGAGTTTGTACTTCTGCCACCCCTCCCGCAGGAGGATTGCTGGTGTGGAAACCCCTGAATGTGTGCTTCTCTCCCCAAGCAGAAGATCTTCCGGACAACCATGCTGTTCCAGTTTGTGAACGTGCTGCTCCAGGTGCTTGTCCACAAGTCGCACGACCTGTTGCAGGAGGAGATCGGCATTGCCACCTACAACATGGCCTCTGTGGACTTTGACGGCTTCTACTCAGCCTTTCTCCCCGAGTTCCTGGCCAGTTGCGATGGTGTGGACTCCAACCAGAAAAACGTGCTGGCCAGGAATTTCAAAATGGACAGGGTAAGAAGGGGAAGCGCTGCGGCGAAATGCAAGTATTCCCGGGATGCACCAAGCTTTTCTCCTAGAACACACAGGCAGGCAGCCCGAAGCCTCTCGGGCAGCGTTTGGAGGCAGTACCCCTTTTGTGGCAAACGCTTCTGTCCCCAGCAATGCCTTGCTGAGGATTTTTCGCTGTAGGTGGCAGAACTGCCATCTCACCTCTCGGGCTGCTGAATGCTGAGGGAGTTGGGGAATGTGTTTCCTGGAGGAGGTGTTCATAGGGGCAGACTGACATTTTCTAGAGTGGGACACTCAGATCCTTGCCAAAATCTTGCTCCAGCTGCTGGCCAGATGTTTGAGGGTTACGTTGAAGACAGCAGCGGAGTAGCTGCGATAGCTCACAATTCTTTCAAGACTCCTTGTATGTGCGTGGGGCAATCGGAGGGTCTGTAACCTCCTGGTGAATGTCATGGCAGCACAGCAGGCTGTGGTTTCCACCTGCTGAAGCTTGTCCATTGAGTCCTTCCTCTCCCGTGGGAGACAGAGGGGGTTTGAAACCAAGGGTGGGGGTGGGAAAGGAGCCTTGGGAGAACTGCTGGACTCCAGGAGGCAATTGCTTTTCAGGTAAGCTGGCCCCTGTTGTGGTGTCCATGGCCAGGAGCCCTGGCAGGGGTGCAGGCAGCAGTTGCTGCAGACAGCCACATTGTGACTGTTCAGGTAGTGCCAGACCTTAGGCTGAGAAGCCGGTGCTGCGACCAGAGCCCAGAGCTCTGCCGTCAGCTCTGGCGCCGTCCCTGCTCCCTGCTGCAGGAACGGGGCTGTGCTGGGCTCAGGCTCTGGAGGAAGGGCTCTGTTGTTCTCATGGATGAAAATCCCCGCGGGAGTTTGGCCCCCTTGGTTCCTTTCTGTTCCCCGCTGTAGGGCAGTGCTGGTGGGTATCACTCTGTTTGCAGTCCAACGTGGTGTTTGATCTTTTCCAGGATCTGCCGTCGTTTACCCAGAATGTGCACAGGCTGGTGAATGACCTGCGTTACTACAGACTCTGCAATGACAGTTTGCCCCCTGGAACTGTGAAACTATAGTTACTGCACTGGACTCGTCTTCTGATCACTGTAGGGAACGGATCCATGTTTCGTTTGGCCACCACCTTCTCTCCTCCCTGGTTTTGTCAGTACTGCAGGGCGCAGCGTCTTGCACATGGGCACATTTTCTTGGATTCACGCAACACGCTTCCTTTTTTTTTTTTTTCCTCTCCCAACCCAAAGTCCCCCAGCTGGAGTCAGCACTGTCTGCAGGATGTGTCTTAATGCCCACCCGCGGGGCATCTCGACTGCACGGAAAATCCTCTCCCTGGGGTTTTGTTCTACCGACGTAGCACTTTTGTTGCATCCGGAGATTTCTGTGGAGTTGTCTTGAGAGATCGTGTACGTATCAAACGTGAGGCAGAAGCGCCAAAGACTACTTCAGACATTCGTACCTTCGTGTCATTCCACCTTCCTGCCCCTGCCCAGCTCTCGGAGGAGGAGACTCGTGATGTTGGGACTGGTTTGGCACTTCTGTCACTCCCTTTGTTTTTAAATTGCCTTGAAAACCTCCCTGCTGTTTGTGGGGATTAGAGACTTTTTTTGGGGTTTGTTTTTTTAAACATTTTCTCATCATTCCATTGTGATACTAAACCAACATGCTTAATGGAAATAAAGTGCTTACTTTGTTGTTTTAAATAGCTTGTAACTTGTTTTGGTTTTCCTGCCTGTCACCGAGCTGTCCCGCTGGATGGAAATGCATTTTGTCTGCAGGCAGCGGTCCGCAGCCTCTCCCCATGATCGGGCAGGAGGACAGGCAGCAGCTGGCGGTGCAGATGCTGTGGCCGGGCTCCCAGCGAGGCCAGCAGCTCCTGGGAGGTGCTGAGCTGGTGCACACTGGTGTTGGCTGCCTTCTCCACTCTCCCCTGGCTGTATTTACCACTGGTGTTCCCCGTTACCCATTGTGGGGGTCTCTTATCCCCCCCAGCAGTCTGTTGTCCGAATTGATCAAGAGCTGCCTGCAGGAAGAAGAATCTCCTGATGTTCTTGGTGTTGTGTCGTAGGAATCATAGAATCATTAAGGTTGGAACAGAACTCAAGGATCATCAACCCAACACCACGCAACCCACTAACCCACGTCCCCAAGCACCACATCTACACGGTTCTTGACCCCCTCCAGGGATGGTGACTCCGCCACTGACCTGGGCAGCC